GACGGATGAAGAAACAGGTGAAAGATGTGGGTATAAGGGTTAGAATTAGAGTTGGCTGAGAGTAACACGAAACCTAAGCAACAGCGGCTGAAGTAGAAGTATGTTCCACTTCTTCCAGTTGGATATGAGTTTGTAGGCAGCTGTAGAGGGCAGCTGCTGGTCATAGGGCCTCCTCTGCAAGATTTCTCCCTTCCCCCAGCATGAAGCTGTTCCTGAAGCTTCTGCTGAGACTGGCAGCCCCAAGGGCTTGGCTCAGGGTACTGCCTGAAGTGCTTCTCAGGACAGCTTATGTGTTCACCCTGAGCCTCAGCGTGGTTGAGCCAAAGCATCCTAATCTCTGGGAGACACAGTGAATCTCAGAAAGATGGCCCCGTGAGGAGAGGGCCCGGAGAGAAGTGGAATGTGGACAGGCCAACCAGGGAGTATGGAGGGGCATGAAGGTCACTGGACTGGGAATTGGGAGGTCTGGCTTCCTGGTCTTGGCCCTGCCACTGTGTGACTTCTGAAAGTCATTTCCCCTGCTGGAACCTCACTGAACTATATGATCCCCTAAACCTTCTAGAAACACAAATAATAGCTCAAATAAAAGCCCCTCGTGCCTCCCTGTCTTCTGTCAATGCCCTTCTGTTTGCTGGAAAGCCCCCTATGCTTTCACTGCCATGGACCACTGCAACATCCTTACTCCAGGAGGTCTTCCCCCTTCTGCCCACACCCCCATCCTTAAGGGGACAACAAGTGCTCCCTCATCCATCCTTTGCCACCATGGACTTAGCATGAACTTCAGCCCTAGGCTTTTTGTGCTGCACTGACCTTGGTTGTTGGAGGTCAGCCTCCTCTAGAAGCCCCCTAAAGACAGGGGCTTTGGCCTTGATCACAAGCTGGTGCTTGTGAACTCCTTGCCCCAGGTAATGCTAGTCAGTGGGCTCCCACTGACTTGCTGATTACTTGCAAGCTGCAGAGTCGTCACCAGACCTGTCTGGGCCTCAGGTGCAGCTGTATGAGAAAAATCTTTACACTCTCAGGCCTGGGAAGATTACGGTGGGAGCAAAACAAGCATAGAGTAAGGGATTGCAGCCACATGGAATGAAGGGGGTCGGGGCCTGCCCAATATGTTCTGACACCTTTCACTACTTTATTCCTCACAGGAATCCCTCAAGTAGATGCTATTTTACTCATTTTGCAGGTGTGGAAACTAAGGTACAAAGAGTTTAATCATATTCCCCTAAGGTTATGATCAAAGATAGTCCTGGCTCCAGAGCCTTTGTTTTTAGCTACTGTGCTGTGCTCCGGCCTAGCTACTCCTTCCTTCCAAATACAGACAAGGACTTCAGGAGACACTTGCTCCCTCTGGGGCATGCCACTCCCACGGCTCAGGCTCTGGCCCTGGTTACTGTACTCTCCAGTTCCGGGTGGGCTGGAGGTTTCGAGGAGCTTCTGAGAGCCTTGTCCTTGTCCTGGGAGTCCCCGCCCGAGTCCTGAGCCTGAGGTGCCTGCCTGCAGCTTCTGCCAGAAGCCCTTGCCCAGTTATGCCACCTGTGTTGAGCTTTAGACCATATCCAGGCGAATCATCCCAGGGGACTTCTGGGTAGAGAGGAAGACTGGGAGCCCGGGCTCTATCTGGCCAGATGTTTCTGAAGCAGGGGACCTTCTTTATCCTGTCCTTCATTCTGTACTGGAGGAATGGCTCCCAAGAGCTTTGCCAATGAGTCAGATGTAGGAAGTAGAAGGCTGGAGGGATATGGGTCAGGATGATGGGGGCCTGTGACCAGAGTTAGATCCAGAGACAAGGACTGCCCACTCCCTCCCTGGGGCCAGCAAGGGGAAGGTAGTTTTTAGAAGAAATAGGACTAGAAAAACTGGAGAATTCAGGGTATAAAAAGGTTCTGGACAAGGCAAGCAGAGGTGGAGGGTTGAAAGGACATTTCTGCTTCATCTCTTAGGTGAATGATGCAGTTTGCTCGTCACACACTGTATGCACAGCAGCTGCCACATCCCCCAGGGTATGATGGGAAGAAGGAACTGGGTTCTAATCCTACCTCTGCCACTCACTCACTGTGTGGCCAACAGAGACCGTAGTAGTTTTGTGAGCCCGAACCTGTGTTTCTTTAGCTGAACATCAAAGAAATTAGACCTGGAGGGAGTTGTGTATTCTGCTTAAGAGAGATCAGTCTTTGGAGTCAAACTAGACTGCTTGGCTTAAAATGTTAGCTATAATAGTATGATCAAAAAATACAGTAAATGTTGAATTTTTAAAAATATATTACAGTAGAAGACACATGCCATTATTCCTCCCCCTAAAATTTTCCCCCTTGCTTCAAACACACTTATCTTCTCATTCTTGCCACTTTCTGAAGCCGTTCGGGAATCTTTAGCTGTGCTGTCATGACTGCCTCGATGTTCTGAATTGATTCAAAATGTTTACCTTACATGGTCACTTTGACTTTGGGGAAGAGCCAGAAGTTAAACGGTGCCAGATCTGATGAATATGGTGAATGAGGACACACCTTAATGCTGTCAAGAGCCTGCCTGTCCTTTGGATGGCACTCAGCAGCGGCATTCACCAGATTTTTTTTATTACATCTTATGAAGACACTTTCAAAAAAGTACTTCCAAAACTGCTTCAGAAAGTGGCAAGAACAATGGGATAAGTGTGTTCACAGAGAGAAGGATCAAAGGCACAGTGCCTTTTACTGTAATAAATGTTTATTTAAACACACCGTACTTTTTGATTACCCCTTGTACATTTCCTCTGAGCTCATGACCTTGAGCAGGTTACCCAATCCAGACAACAGCAATGGTCAGAATTCCATTCTTCCTGTTTGTTGCAAAGGTTTTCAAGGATGATACATCTGTTTGACCCAAAATAACCATATTTCTCCCTCCCAGTTAAAAACTTCAGTGACTCTTTGTCCTACACAAACAGATAAAGAGAAAATCTCATTTCCTCTCTGCACCCCGGTCACGTTCTCATTTTGGTAGCATTTTGTTGTTGTCATTGCTATGAGTATTTAATATAGAAACAGGGAAAAACCTCAAGCAGATTTCTTTCACCCTCTGGTTTAAAAGTTCAAATGCCTTGTCCTGTTTGTTAGTGGTGGGCAGATGATGTCACCAAGCAGTGAGACTCCTCAACCCACAGGGATTATCTTTAATGGAGAAGATGGGAATATCCAGATAGGGTTTTCTTTAAAGGCTCAGAGCTGAAAATACCAGGGATGTGGCACTTCGATCCTGCCTGGAAGTTCCTGCCAGGAACATCCGCCTAACTCAAGCTCTCAGAGGGGAAGTCTGATATCGAGTCTCACCTCGCAGAAATTGAGCCCAGAGTGGATTTGAATAAGCCACCAATGTCCCAGTCTCCAGTGTCCCCTCAGCTAGCCAGAGTGAATGGAAGATCAGATGGCCCAGGCTGGCAGCACTAGGAGATGTCAGCACCAGCACCCAAGAAGGGATTTCCTGTCAAGAGGAAGTATGGGTTACGCTGAGCTTGGATTCATCTTCCTCTCAAGTCTCTGGGATTATAAGGAGCCTAATGGAACCTTTCTCACCAGCTAGGCCTCAGTTTCCCTTTCTGGAAAGCCACCTATATATTCCCACACATTTTTTCCAGAAATCATTTACAGTAAAAGAAATTCCTTAAAAGTTAAATGAGTCCAGAAACACGCTGGGACTTCAGAGCTTCCAAGCTCTTGTGCATTCCACACATCTGTAACATTTGCTGGTCACTTCAGTGGTAACAGATACCACCACTAGCACATGCTGAAAACTTCCTCCTTCCAGCCAGCTCACCTAGTCCTCCCTGTGACAACCCTGTCAGGTAAATGTGCTCTCCCCATTTCAAAAATGAGACTTGGAGAAGCAGGGAAAGCCTGGGGTACCAGCTGATGAATTACTACTTTAGGTGGAACCATAAGGCCCTCTCTGCCTGGATACAGAATCTGAGAGACCACTCAGACCCTGTTCTCAAATGAATGGGACACTCTTAGTGGAGAGCCCAGGGCACACTCAGTGAAAGAGGGACAGTTACCCAGGGCTATCTACTCTTAAGTCCCAGTACAAGGCCATGAGTGGCTTCTAGTGAACAGTCACTGAGGCCATAGTGGCTTTGTGCCAGGGGAGATCTTGACAGATTTAGACCCCTCTGGCTGGGACTTGCAACTTCTCACTGGGAGCAGAGTTGGTCTAGTCACAGAGATGGGTGAGAAGGGGGGAGGGATGAGGAGCAAAGGGTCCCAGCAGCCACTAGATGGAAAAGGGTCCCCACCCCATTATGTGGCCCTTCTCTCTCTGCCCACTCTGGGCTTCCCCATTCCCACAATGAGTAAGCAACAGGAAGGAGCTCCTGGCCTGGAGATCATGCCATTAGTGCCCCCATGGGAAAAGGGGAAGTGGAGAGGGAAGAGGAAAGGTGAGCCATCCCAGTTCTCAGGCCTGAAGACGAAACAGGCCTGCTGCCTGCTACCTCTGCCCTTAATGCTGCCCACTCCCACTACTCCTAATGGACAAGGAACCTGGCTGTTACGAAGCACCAGGGGCATTTTGAGGCCTCTCCGCAAACCCAGTGAATTGGAATGTCAGAGAGAAGCATTGGAATTTGGACTTGTAAAAAGAACAGCCCCTCCCCCATGATGCCCTGGTTGAGTGGTCGAAAAGGCCCTGACCCTGATCCGGTGATGCTGGGGACACTGCCTAGGGAAATGATCAGCAGAGAGCAAATTGGGTGGCAAAAAGAGCTGCTGTCTTTAAGGTGAAGCTTCATACTTTCAAAGGGTTCTTTGGAATCCTCTCTAGTGGTTCGCTTTGTCAGTGTTCCAGAAAGCTTTGGAATATTTGGGGTGTGATCTTTTAAGTCATGGGGTGGAAAAGATAAACAGTCCCAGGGCAGAAGAGGAAGGTATCCAAGTGCACCCTCCCCAGGGCTCAAGCTGAGCATCAGTGGACTGGCACAGAGGCCCTTCCTTCCAGGGCTAGGCTCCCATCCTCCTGTTTTTCCCTTTCAGGATGTGAAAATCTTCCGAGCCCTGATCCTGGGGGAGCTTGAGAAGGGGCAGAGTCAGTTCCAGGCCCTCTGCTTTGTTACCCGGCTGCACCGCAATGAGATCATCCCTAGTGAGGCCATGGCCAAGCTTCGGCAGGTGAGCCCCCACCCTGGGCCTGCCCCGGCCAGTTCCTGAGCCAGAGCCCCCACCGCAGCCCTAGTCTCCCACCCAGATGGACCCCACACATGGCTCCTCACCCATTTCTCTGCCCTCCCTGACCCTCCTTTTTGCCTTCCCTTCCGATAGACACTCAGTCTCCTGAATGTGGAGCAGTACTTGACCTAAGAGGTCATTTATCACAGCACAGCACAGCTTGCCTGGCCTGCCCACCTCCACCTCCCAGCAGGACTTTAGAACTTGCTGCAGGTCCCAGAGGTCAGCTTGAGAGTAGTCCATTTGGATAGAAGCTGGAAAGGCCTGTCTGCTTGTGGGCATCAGTCTCTGCCAGTTGCAGAGGGGCAGGGCTGGGTGCTCCCTGACTGCTGGCTGGGCTGGCCAGGATCTTCAGGGGATCAGGGGAGGAATGGGCAGGGAGCAAGCACCCTGAGGCCAGGTGGGAGTGGCTCTGTCATGAACCTGCAGAAAAACCCACGGGCAGTGCGGCAGGCTGAGGAGGTGCGGGCCCCGGAACAGCTGCACATGGACATCGCTGTGAACTTCAGCCAGGGGGGCCTGCTGAGCCCCCATCTCCACAACGTGTGCACCGAGGCCACAGATGCCATCTATACCCGCCAGGAGGACGTCCGGTTCTGGCTGGAGCAAGGTCGGCTGGGCACTGGGCACTGCCTGCTGCAGGGCAGAAGGAAGAGAGGGCGGAAGAAACAGTGGTGGAGGAGAAAAGGGGCCACATGGGCTGAGCAGCTCTTTCACTCATTCAAGAGACGTTAATGGAGCATCTGCAGAGATGGGTTGACCGGGATCAGAGATGTAGACACCCAGTTCCTGCTTCCCAGAGCTCCCCCTGGGTAGAGCTGTAAAGTATGTCACAGTGCACTGACGAGCTGTGGGTGCTCGGTGGTGGGCCCCTAAACCAGGCCAGGTTGGGGAAGGCTTCCTGGAGGAAAGGGGGTCCCAAATAGCCAGTCTGTAAGAGGAGTCACCCAGATGAAAGGACCCATTCCAGGAGGGACAGACTGCCAAGCGCTATTCAAGGAGACTCCCAGATACTCCCCTGTGCTTCTCTTAGCGAGGACACAGAGACGGACCCTGTCACGGGAGAGGGCGCAGGCAGCCTGTCCTCCTCCCCACATCTCCTGCTGCTTCTCAGAAGTCAGCTTCACACCATCCTAGGTGCCAGCATCTCTCCCCAGGATCCTTGGGAACTCCTCCCAGCTCTGCATGGTCCTGGGTGACTTCAACCCTCTCCCAGACCTGCTCTCTGGCTCTGTATAGGAGGGACAGGGAAATGTCACCATCCCAGCACCAGCCCCTTCACTCAGCCAGCCAAGCACAGAGAAATGCCTGCCCTCTCTGGGGTTGGGCCTGGGTTTAGAAGTGCCCACCAGAGCTGTGGTCATGCTCTTCATACACCTGTCCCCAGCCTGCCACACCCCAAACTAAGATGCAAGCCCAACCCCAATGGAAGAGCATCTCCCGGTGGTGGTGCTCTTCCAAGGTCACAGAGCAGAGCCTGAGCGAGGCCCCTGCCATCTTCTCCAGCGCCCCTCACCTGCACACCTGTGGGTTGTTTGTTCTGCCGCTTCCCTGCCTGGCCCTACTCAGCTACCACCTCCTCCACGAAGCTGCCCTGATGGCCCTCACCTTTTTCTGCACTCCCCAGTACAGTGATCTTTTAAAGCTCTGTCAGCAGCTTGGCCAAGTTCAGGCCTGGAAGTCAGACCGACCCAGGTCCAGGCCTGACTCCCTTTGTATTCTGGGGCCACATTGATGAACTTCTCTGGGCCATTTCCTCATCTGTAAAACAAGGATGGCAGGGTTAGCTCCCTGGGGAATGAAAAGAGGATTCAGTAGAGGAGAATGTTGTCACTTAATCTTTTTTTCCCACTAGCAGCCTCTTGCCCAGGTCTCACTGACCTCAGGGAGGGGTGTCTGAAGAGAGTAAGCTGGGAAGGGCTGCTCTTGGAGTGCTCCTGTCCTCTGCACACTCTCATCCTTGCCTCTCTCCCCAGGTGTGGACAGCTCTGTGTTTGAGGCTCTGCCCGAGGCCATGGAGCAGGCAGAGCTGTCTCACTGCAGGCAGGTGGGGGACCGCGGGAAGCCCTGTGCCTGTCACTACAGCCTGAGCCTGGCCTGGTACCCCTGCATGCTCAAGTACTGCCACAGCCGAGAGCGGCCTGCGCCCTACAAGTGTGGCATCCGCAGCTGCCAGAAGAGCTATAGCTTTGACTTCTACGTGCCCCAGAGGCAGCTGTGTCTCTGGGATGAGGATCTTTAGCTGGGCTGTGGGGAGAGGGGAGCGTGGGGGTGGCTGCTCAGGGCCCACTTCTCCTCCCCTGGCCACCTGAGGCCTTATTTCTTTTATGTGCTCCTGGCCCTGAAGCCTCAGGGCCCCTGTACGACATGACTGTGAAAGGGGGTGCACAGCAGGGGTGACTCATGAAGGCAGCCCCCATGCCCACCCTGTGCCTTCCTTGGGGGCAGTGAGGGACAAAGCAGTTCTCCCAACGTGCACCCCACCCTCCTCATCTCCCCTGAAGTGTTCACTTTCAAGCAACCAAAATGTGACAGCCTAGGATTCTTCTATGGAACCCTGTAGACCATAAGAGGGGTCTCTGCCTGCAACACCCACCTCCCCACACACATCTAGGAGGACCTGGCCCTGCCATACCTTCTCTTTCCACACCAGTGAGGGGATCCTTAGCCCCAAAGAGGAGGCTGTTGTGGCCCGAGCCTCAGCGGTGTGTGGAGCCAGCTGAGAAACCTGCCACCCTGAGACCAACCATTGTGCCTTTCCACAGACCAGGACTTAGCACCAGAGGCGGCACCAGCTCCTCTTCCTTCTAAACAGAAGTATTTCTGTAAGGTTCTGGGGCAGGGAGGGAGCATGAAGTATGAGGAAAACTTGAATTCCAGATTTTTAATACAAAGTATTTATCATTTGTACCAGAAATAAAAGTTTAAATTTTTACTTGACCTATAAGCACTACACCTGGAGTTCCGAGAGACTTTTTGTCCAGTGCTGCCACCTGGTGTCAGAAGTGTTCCCCTGCACCATCAGTGAGCAGCCTAGGGACAGAAACTCAAAAGCACCTGCTGTGTGTTCTGCCATTTGAGGAGAGAGGAGGTGCAGGTCAGTGCGTTCCTAGGGACGGAAGGATAAGATGAAACCTCTGCACTCATGAGGATGAGACAAGAGGCTGAGGGTATAGCTCAGTGGCTGAGAATGTTCCAGGCCTTGGGTTCTATCTCCAGCACTGAAAAAGAAAATAGATAGGAAAAAAAAACACCATAGTAAGTGCCAGGACAAAGTAAGATTGAGACAGGAACCAGACATCATATTCACATCCAGGCCCTATTGCTTACTTGCTGTGCATTCTTGGGTCACATGACTTTACCTCTGTGCCTTAGCTATAACATTTAATTCGTGAGACTAAAGTGAATTTATAAAAGTGTCAAGTGCATAGTGACTGCTCCGTGTTAGCCATTATTCACGTCACTACTGTTAGTGAAAAGAGCAGACATTGCCTCATCTGTCACTGATCACCAAGCCACATGTGTGGAAGGCTCTCCACTTCCTAAGTGTCTTCTAATACAGGAGGGTGTGATGAGAAGTGCTGGGCAGGTGCTAGAGCCTTTGGGAAGGAGGCTGTGTGGCTTATATTTGTGGGGGGCAGCTCACTCGAAGATACAGGGTGGGGGCTGAGGCTGAAGGACAGTAACAGTTTAGCAAGGTGGAGACAGGAGGCCTTCGGGGGCAGGAAGGTCTCATGGGTCCCAGAGGGAACCCAACTCCTGAAGAGGGAGGTGGCAGAATTGGATCTTTCTCAAGGGCCTTGGGGAGGGGCAGGGGTGGCACAGCAGTCCCCTCTCCTCTGCTTCCCAGCACCCCAGGACACCTGTGTGCTTGGCCATAGATGGAGGTCACTAGAGAGATACCTTTCCAGGTGGGCGTGCTTTTCTGTATTAAGAACCTGCTTCAGCCCAGCCTTTTCTTCCCCCTCCTGCCCAATCCAGGGTCTCAGTACTGAGCCTCACCCACTGTTCCAGGAGAAAGGGCACAGATGGAGAAGGCCCATTCCACCCCATGTGTGTGCTGTCGTTGATGATGGAGTCCCTGATCCATATACTGTGCTTAAGTGCCTTTAAATAAGCAAAAATAATGGCTGTTTAAAAATTAACGTTTTCAAGATTTGGAGTGTCTTGCTGACCTTGCTGGAAAAGCACCTCCTCTTAGCCTGCCTGTCCCTGGATTGAAGGGCCTCTGGACACTCACTGCACACATCCCTGCCCCTGCCTCCTCTTGGGAGTATAGGAGTGAGAACTAAGATGCCCTGAGACTTTGGGGCTGGCCTTACACCCAGCAAAGTAGACACCTCCTGGGAGTCACAAGCCAACACCACCCCAGCTCATCCCCATGCTGTCACAGTGCCTTAAATGCCACCATGACAGTTGGTGCTCTGCTGAGACTCCCATGTCTCTGCATCACAGTCAGGGGTTAAGATAGGCCTAGGTGGCAGCCATGTGAGGCCCTCCAAGTTGAAGCATGGCCATTTATCCTCAGCAGCCCTTGTGGCCGTGTGAAAACTCCTGGGAGAGGTCATATAATCAGTATCTTTGCTCTGTGGCACGTTATGGTTTATGAAGTGCCTTCATATACATTAGCCCACTGGCTCCTTGTAGGGGTTCTGTGACATTTTATAGGTGTGGCTCCCGTGTAACATTGTGTGATTGCCCAAGTCAGCTAGTTAGAGCCAAGCTGTGATCCAACCCCTGGCCACCTTACTCCATCCATGCCACCTTCTAACCACAATGGGTTTGTCAGGTTGGCCAGTGGAACCTCGAGAGCACAGCTCACCTGTGGGAAGGAGACAGGCAGGCAGATGAACCTGGGCAGGGTACTGGTGCTTCCCTGGGACAGAGCTGCCAAGAAGGAACAGGGTCCTGACTGGTCCCCTTTGTCAAGGTGAGCAAGGTGCCTCCAAAGAGGCCGGGCTGGGCCTTGCTGTGGGCTTTCATCCTGGAGCTTTTCTCTAGGCCTCTCTCTCTCTCTGCAGTCTCAGCCAAGGAAGCTCCTGGGTGGAGAACTGGGGCCCCACAGTTGGGAAGCCCTGCCCCAGAGTCTCCATGGGACCTGGGTATGGAGGGTGGAGTAGAAGAGGAGTCTGGTATAAAAGGGGGCAAGGGCCCCTCTCAACCCAATTCGAGGCTAACAATGCCGATGAGAAATGTGGGTGCTGGCTTGGTCCCAGCTCTGCGTGGCATGGGTGTGTCACCCCCTTGCACGCCCCCTCTCTCCATCTGAGAAGAGAAGGGGCCTTAGTAGGTTGCCACTAAGGTCTTCCCAGCTCTGGCACTGTTTTAATCACCTAGTATCTCACCCAGGTTTTTACCATTTGGTCACAGTTGGGCAGTTACGTTATTTACTGAGACTTGCTCATATAGGCCAGGCTCTAGGTGGAAGCGGTAGCGGTAAGAGTGGTAACGTCTGAGGTACAAGCACACAGACCGGTAGATTCCATCAGGTAGTCCTTCACATGTGACTGTTCAGTTTACACTGTTGCTGGTAGTCTGTGGACCTTCCCATTTCCCCACGCTCCCGAGCTGTCAGCCAGGGTCCTCCAGAGAAACACGACCAATAGATAGAAAGATGCTTTTTTTTTCAGTACTAAAAACTGAACATAGGACCTTTGCACAGAGTACATCCCCAGTCCTTTTTTTATTTTCTTAAATTTTCATTTTGAGAGAAGGTCTTTCTGAGTTACTAAGTTGCCTGGGCTGGGCTCAAACTTGTGACCTTCCTGCCTCAGCTTCCCAAGTAGCTGGGATTACAGCTGTGTACCACTGTGCCCAGCTATGTTGCCGTCATTTGTGTGTCAGCCCTCAACTGATTGGATGAGGCCCTCCGCCATTACTAGGATAATTGCCTTAAAGTCAACTGATTATAAAGGTGAATCACATCTACAAAATAGCTCCACAGCAACATACAGGCTGGTGTTTGACCAAACACTAGCAGGGCACTAGAATCCAACCGGATCCCATCATACTACCTTCGCTTAGGGTTATAAAATGCTTGCTGTGTGACCACTGAGAAACTCAATAGCATTCTAGAGTTTATTCTCAATATCACCCGCAGCCAGGCGACAGCTAAAACTTGTCCCCTTCCACCCTCCTCAGCCTCTGGATGGAGCTACTCCGCCCTCTGGCTTTGGCCAGTGAGAAACATCACGTGCAACCACTGAGGGCGGGGAGTCTGGGCAGAACCCCTGTGCCTCGCTGCCCAGTGCCACATGTGTGACTTTGTCCCCATCCCTCCCAGGCCCCCGTTCTCCTTGGGCTACCACACCACTATTTCCTCCTCTTGCCCCTGGTGCCCTAGCTTTGCAGTCTTGCCCCTCTCTGGGCACTGGCCCCCTTAAGCCTGCTCACACCCCTGTAACCAAGCCACACCATCAGTCAGGGTGAGCTGACTGTTTCCTGCAGAGAGCCGGGATAGCAACAGAGGTCCCAGCTGGGAACTTTCACGACAGAAGTGGAAGTGAAGAGGGCACAGACAAGGTAGGAAGTACAGGAGAAGGTCCCGACCTCAGAGGTTTCCGGTGCAGCAAGGGAAAGACTGTGGGTCACAAGCATGCTCAAGATCCAGGCCCAACGGAGCAAGACCTGGCCCTGTGCACTTCAGGGGTGGTGCCCACACCCCCTGGCATGACTGTCTCACTGCCTTGGCCCTGGCTCCTGCCACATATCCTGCTGTGACAAGGTCCTTGTTCCTAAGCAGAAAGGGATAGGATGAGGTGGCATTTTGCTTTCTGATCCCTCCCACCTTTCTGGACTCCTTCCTATAATGGAGGAAGTATCCCTGCTCTCCACTCCCCGGCTCTGAAGCCCAGCCCCTACCTCTTCCTCAAGGACCTGCCTCTCTGGGGAAGTTGTTCCCTCTCTCCCTCTTCTACTCTCTCTTTCCTGCCTCCTTGACATTGACCCTGAGAGTATTCACCTCCTTCCCATCCTAAAAACAGAACGCTAAGCCCCTCTCTGCTGACCTCTTTGCCCTGTTCCTTCTAGGCAGACATCTGGCCAGCACCTTCTTCCCCAGCACTTCTCAGACTGGAGACCCAAGGCTGTGCTATAGTCTTCTGTGATGTGTGTCCCAGCTCATCTGCTACTGAAAGTTGGCAACCAATGTCCACCTACCTTGGGGTCCCTCCCTGCAGTATCAGCATCACTCTCACTCATGCTTTTCCACTTCTTGGACACAGTCCCTGCCTGTATTGCTTGGGGACCTCGACCTTCCATCCTCCCTCTTGTGGCCTTTGATCTCTTTGCTTGCATCATTCTGACTCCTTCTCACTGGGGATCTCAGCTTAGGTATTCCTTCCTCCAAGATGTCCTTCCTAACACCTATCTCCAAATGTGGGCGAGGTGTCCCCCACAGCAGCTTCCCATAGCACCCTCTACTTTCCTGTTATGGCACAGGCCATGGGATGAGGGGCTTGCTTACTGGTCCACAAGCATCAGCAGACTGTGTGTTCCTGAGGGCAGACAGCTATTACATTCTAAGCTCCTAGGGGTTCTGTGGTGAGGTCCAGCCTTTGATGGAGGGCAAGGACTAGAGGGCCATACAGTGGTCTGAGTCTGAAAGTGAACATCTCTGGCTTTCCTGGAACTCTGGCCCTCACCTGTGGGTCTCCCGTTAGCAGTTAGCGGGCGCTTCTGGGAGGAGGCCTCTCCAGCTTTTCAGGTAAGGATGCAAACGTCAGGGCCACACTCCCTGACTACCACAAGAGGGCGCACTAAGCCTAGACTTGTCTGGAGCCTGCAGTAGTTAGGAAGCGTACCTGGTTAGAGGTAAACTAGTAGAGTCAGGAAAGGTCTGGCTGAGCCAGGGCTTTGTCAGAGGCACAATTAGAAAAGTCCAGCTCAAAGTTTAGAGTGGCTTTAAAATTAAAACCGTTGACTGGAAGACAGAGTTGTTACTATGCTGTTTTTAAAATTAAGTCCATAGCCAGGCACAGTGGCACACACCTGTAATCTCAGCACTTAGGAGGCAGAGGCAGGACTGCAAGTTCAAGTGCCACCTGGGCAATTTAGTGAGAGCCTGTCTCAAAATGATAAATAAGAAAAGAGCTAGGAATGTAGCTCAGTGCGAAGGCCCTGGGTTCAGTCCCCAGTACTGCAAAAAAAAAAAAAAAAAAAAAAAATCTATGATCCTAAACCACTGAGGGCAAAATGGGCAATGCACCACACGGGTGAGGGGTAGGCACTGGCAGGAAGTTAGAGAGAGGAACAGGGCAGGATAGCAAGGATGCCATCAGGTGTACTCAGGCATGATTCAAAACAGGCCTGAAAGTTCTTCTTGGCCTCTACCTTCCTTCCATCCATCACCCTAAGGCAGGGAGCGACCCCCACCCTGCACCCCCATGCTCTGTGCCCTGCAGCCCATCTGGCAGACCAGAGGAGCTAGAAGGGACTTGTCACTTGGTGTCCTTCCAGAACGCCTCGTTCTCCACCCTTCTCCCAGCCCTGACAATTCAGTCCACCTGACAGGACAGGAAATGGGAGTATGCAGCGGGCCTGCCGCCAAGACAATGCCACTTTCCTCTTCGGAGGGAGAAAATAGGCAAGGGGCTGCCTCCCTCCATGCCTCCCTCTCTCCAAGGAGACCGCCATTTCCAGCCCATGTATTGGGAATGAGCTGGACTCCTAGAGCCTCGTTGTCCTTGAAGCCAAAGAAGCCGATCTGATGCTCAAAGAGGAAAGGAGCCTGCAGCTGGGCAAGGCAGTGCAGGCAGAGGCCCTGCACTCACGGAGGCTGAGGGAGGAGGATAGAAAGTCTGAGTCCAGCCTGGGCAACTCAGCAAGACCTTGTTTCAATTTTTTTTTTTTTTTTTTTAAAGGAAAAAGGACTGGGGTGTGGCTCAGGGCAAAGGCCTTGACTTCAGTCAGCAGGGAGAGGAAGAGGAATAGGGAGAGGGAGGGGAGAGAGGGGGAGGGAGAAGGAGAGGGAAGAAGAGAGGGTTAGAAAAAAAAGGGGAGAGATAGAGAGAAGTAGGAAGGGGGAGAGAGAGAGAAAGAGGACCAGCTAGGCCAGCCCTGGAGAGCTCGTGACCCTCTAGGGGAGCAGCCAAGGTCAGAAGTCTCAACAGGAGGACTTAGGGAGGGGTCAAAATGGATCACCACTTAGGAAACGCAGCATTCTGGAGTTAGGTTTTAGCTAGTCTGGGGGAAAAAATCTTCCAGATGTTGACAGGGTGGGGTAAGGCACAGAAAGATAATTTGCATTTCGTTTGCATTTCATTTGCATACCACTCTTTTGATGTCCAAAGGCACTGAAATTTCCTGCCCCTGCTTCTTTTTTCCTTTCTTTCCTCTGTTCCTTTTTAACCTCCTGACAGCCTCCTATCTCCTCTTCCCCACAGCTTTTCCTCTCCCAGGCAAACAGATTATTAGGCCAGGGAGCAACCTCCCCCACCAGTCCACAACTCAAAAACCTGGTTTTACAAAACTATGAGTGCCAGGAAATGGGGGATGGGAGAAAGGGGTCTTTTACATGCTCAGTCCAATTAAAATGATTATCAAAGAAGTCAGGGGGAGAAAATAGATTGTCTGTCTCTCCCCCCTTGTCCTCCCACACACATGCTCTACACACTGGGTACAAACCAACTCTGGCCTTCTAAGGCCTCTGAGAGAACAGAAGGCCACGTGATCTGGTGTAAATCCCTCCTGCTGTGGGCCTGGACTTCCCCATACGTGGGGGTCAGGATGATGTCTAGGTTCCTTCTACCTCAAGTTTCAGGATCACAGAAGAGAGAAGGGAAGGCTCTGAGGTCAGGCGGGCTTGGGTCTAAGTTCCATCCCCACCGTCCACTAGCTGTGTCAATCTCCCTGAATCTCAGTTTCCTCATTTATAAAAGAGGGCTCATGATTGTACTTTCCATCGAAAGCTATGTTGACAAGCAGGATGTGGAGGTACAAATCTGTAACCTCAGCTACTCCAGAGGCTGAGGTAAGAGGATCAAAAGTTCAAGGCCAGCCCAGGCAATTTAGCAAGACCCTGTCTCAGAATAAAAAGGGCTGGGGTGTAGCTCAGTGGTAGAGTGCTTGTCTAGCAGTTCTGAGGCTCTGGGTTCAATCCCCAGTACAATACATACATACATACATACATACATACATACATACATACATACAAAAATGCTAAACAAACTAAAACAGAGTACATGTGTTCAGCATGTAATACAATTCTTGGCACCGAGGAAGCACTCAGTCTATTTATTGAGTGAATTAGTGAATGAACATGAGGTAATATCTGCCTCCTTCTCCCTCCCACCCTCCTATCTTTCCACCTCCCCACCCGATGCTTCCAACTGTGAACCCCTGAGTATCTCTTTCTCACTGTTCTCTCCTTAAGAGCTCCACCTCCAGAATTGTAGGCTGCTGGTCTTGAAGGCCCATGGACATCATCATCAGATACAAACTTCTCTGACTCTGGAAAACTAAAGCCCAGGCAGGAGCGGTGGCCCACACCTGTGATCCCAGCTACCCAGGGGGCTGAAGCAGGAAGATCACAAGTTCAAGGCCAGTCTGGACAACTTGGTGAGACCCTGCCTCAAAATAAAAAATAAAAAGGATTGCATCCTCAGTATGAGAGAGGGAGAGAAAGAAAGAGGGAGGGAGGGAGGGAAGGAGAGAGAGAGAGAGGGAGAGAGAGAGAGAGAGAGAGAGAGAATGAGAATCTAAAGCTCAGAAGGGGAAAAATGTGACTTTGTATATAAGAAAGTGTATCAGGTCCGGGATATGGTGATCAGAGAACGAGACCTGAGACCCCGGGTGCCCATGACCATGCAAATTATATGTAAATAGAGATATGGAAATCACATGCACTCAGGCTATATAAACTTTGTGCAGACATTTTTCTAGGATGATGGCAGGTGAGTACAGTAATAGATTTTTAAAAGCTAAGTCAGGGAAGGGGCCAAACTTGAAGTAGAGGCGGGAAGGATGGGACAGAGGCTGAGGATGTCTTCACAGGGGCTCCTGGGCCTCCAAGAAGCATTTGTAGATCTGATCTTGAACCAGAAGCAGCAAAAGAGAAGCCCTTGCCCCCACCTTCCTGCCTGGATTGGGGAGGTGGACATGACTGGGGGAGTGGGGTTTGCGGGGCCCTGAAGACACACTGGGCACTTCCTACTCCAAGACCCCTTCAGCACCCACTGAACCCCTTGTGAGGCCTGGGTGTGTTCAGCACTGCTGCAGGCTCTGGGGGCAACAGACGAAACAGCTGGTCAGAACCTGTCATAAAGGCTATTAAAAACAGTGAAGTGCCACAGCAATTCAGTAAGAGATCAGATAAAATTCCAACTGGAAAGAGGGAGCATGTGAATTATGCATCGAGAGAGTAGAGAACAGTGCTTTAGATCAATAATTCCAAGCCAGGCCAGGTATAGTGGTGCATGCTTGTAATCCCAGCATTCTGGGAGGCTGAGACACGAGGATCCTGACCTCGAGTCTAGTCTGGGCAACTTAGTGACTTAGCAAGACCTTGTCTCATACTAAAAAATAAAAAAGGGCTTGGGATATATCTCACCTCAAAGGCCATGGGTTCAGTCCCCAGGACTACCAAAACAATAAATAAATAAATAAAATAAGAAAGCTCTGACACTTACTAACTGTAACATGGCAAGTCAAACTCCCATCGGGGAAAATGGAGATAATAATGGCACGATTTACAGTGTACCATAGTGTATAGTGTTGTGTGCACTAAATGGATGGAAAGGCATTAAAGATGCCTTTAAAGTGTGGGTCAGCACTCTCCCTAGCACGCAGTGAAAGTGTGATAAATGCTGGATAACTGGAATTGCTGGGGCAGAAGATGAAACCAACATTGCAAGCGAGGCCTAAAGGCAGAGAAGCCGGGGACCTGCTCTGTGCACAGGACACAGATGCAGGGATGGAAGGCTGACCTGGAGTCCCATCTGGAAAAGCAGGCAAGGCCCTTTCCTGCTGTGTGTCCACATATGGCTTTCTACTGGCACCTGAAGAGCAGGGGAAGCAGAGATGAGTGGAGTCTGAGATGATGGGTCTACAAAGAGCACTGGAATGGGAGTCCAAGGGCCTGATTCCAGCCAGGCTCTGTCTGGGAATCGTGTCTTTGGACAAGTCACTCCCAAGCTCTGGAAGGTGGCTGTCATTGAAACCCCTAGGACTGGCAAATGATCTTCACATCCATCTCTCACAGCGCCTCAAGGCAACTCTGGACCTGGAGGTGGGCGGTAGAAGGCAAGGGGCAGCAGTCTTGGCTCAGAAAATGTTTTGTTGTTTGTTTGGGGCGGGGTTTGGCACCGGGGATCAAACTCGGGTCCTTGTGCTTGCAAGGCAGGTGGCGGAACCACTGAGCTAAATCCCCGGCCCTTGTTTCAGAAAATGTGATCATTAGCTGAGAAAGCCACGGAGGCTAGGTGGGCTTGCCCGCCTGCTTACCCCAGAGAGACGCCGGTTTTGATTAGCACTTGGCCCGTTTTACAGATTAGTAAAATGAGTTCAGAGAGGTGAAGAGCCTTGTCCCCTCCACAAAGTTGGTAAGTCGTTGAGAGGTAGGATTCCAAGACCAGATTCTTTCCAGCACACCCCCGCGGCTTCTCCAAACACTCCAGGTTCCTTGTAGCGCTCTCTTCTGGAGCCAGTCCAGACGGAGGCTCAGGCCCAGGGGCGAGCTGGACAACAGCCTGGGCCGCTGCGGGTGTGTTGGGGAGGGGCCATCAGGCCGGGTCCCTCAGACGGCAGACAGGTGTTGGTCGGTCCGCCCCGGCAGCGCCCACCTCCTTCCCCGGCCCCCACCTCCTCATATGCAAATCGCTGTTTTGCCTGGGCCCGGGGCCAGGGGGTGTGGCCGGCGGCCCCCGCCCCGCGCCGCGTGCTCACCTGGGGAGTGTGGCAATCCTGGCCGCGCCGAGTGCCACCCGGGCCAGAGCAGCGCAGCGCGCGACGGCGGTGGCGACGGCTCCGGCAGCGGCTGCGGCCGGGAGCGGAAAGAAGGAGACCCTGGCTTCCCAGGGGGCCCGGCTGGGGCAGACGCTGGGGGGCTGGGGGGGCGCTGGCTTTGGCCCCACCTGGGGCAGGATGGTGAATCTGGAGCCCATGCACCCAGGTGAGACGCAGAGAGGGAGGGCGCTCTGACAGGTGTCACCGCGCACAGAAAGTGGGAAAGGAGAGGGGCACCTTGCCATGGGGGGCTTATTCCCCAGCGGCCAGGAGAGGGCGGTGTGGATAGCGGGTCGTCGCGGGTAGGTGTCTGAAGAACTAAAGAGAGGGAGTCTGGGTAAGGAACCTTGGAAAAAATGAAGGTGGGGCGCGGGGGGTTCAGGGACCCCCAGATCCGGGGAGCTGGCAGTTGTGTGGAACTTGGGTGTGCTGCGCTGCTGCTGTCCCATGAGCTTGCTGAGATGGGTGTTCACTTACTCGGCTGGGGTGTGGACCTGGGAGTGCATAAGAGAGGAAAATACGTGTATCCACATGCTGTGCAGTCAGTGTCCCCACACCTGTGTGAAATGGAGCCAACGGGGGCATTTGTGTGGGGGGCTTTGAAGGGGGGCAGTTACAGAGGTGCACGTGGGGCAGTTGCCATGCCACATGTGTATCAATAAGGGCATGTGCAGCATGTGAATCAGCATCTGCCTGTCCCTGCATGTGTTGGGAGACAGCATGGAGCAGACCCCATAGGTGGCATGTCCTAAGCACTAAGGCGCATGCACTACCTGTGCACATGTTTCAGGTGTGTCAGTATGTGTGGGAGGGGTCCCACTCATGCTCTGTGGGTCTTGGCTGTGTCTAGGCTCAGTGCATGGTGAACCTGTGTCCCAGAGTGGGTGGTGACAGATCCTCCTCTGGTTCCCATTTCCCGCGACTTCCTCTCCTAAGGGCTGGGAAGCCTCAGGAAAAGTATCATTGGGAGTCCATTTTCCCTGTGTGAGTGAATGATAGGCATGGAGTGAACTAAATCCCCACGTATCCTGCTGACTCCTTCCACAGCTGGGCTAGGGCCGGAGCTAAATGAAAGGGTTGGGCTCAGGCTCAAGGATAGGGATGGGGGGACTTATGTTTCGGTGGACATCTGAGGGCCCGAGCAAAGAACACTCGAGGTGAAGAAAGCTGTATCTCACTTGACCGCTTTAAAGTCAGCACCTTGCCTCTCAAAGTAGGCAGAATCCAATAACCTTTATTTAGGATTTCCGGGTGGCTGAACTGTGTGGTTTGCTCTCCTTTCTGGGAGAGTAGGGAGGAGAAGGCAATTCCCCTGACCTACACCAAGAAGCAGGGCAGGCTGGAGGCTTTGGCTTTTCCTGGGTCCTACCAGTCCCCAAAACAAGGAGCAATGGGTGCTCAAGGGACCCGGGGTGCCCAATCCCTGTTTTCCAGCAAGGCTGAGCAGAAAGCTGGCTGGCAGAGAGGTGTTGACACTCTGGCTACCCAGGTCTTGCCAGGAAGGGCTAGTGAGGCTGGCTTCGAGGAACCATCCAACTTATTATCCGGGTCTGGGCAAAGACTATTTCCAAAGCCCATGGCACCAACATGGAGCTGGGGCAACCAACCTGGGGCGCATCCCCTTGAAGGTATTTCTTTCCTTCATTTCCTGTCAAGAAGGCTAGAGTTCAAAGGGGAAGAAGACTTCTTCAAAGATAGACCCCAGCAGGAGGTGGGGAGTTCTTTAGGAGAAGATCAGAGACTTCCTGGGGGTTTTCCAACCTCCTTCTCCACTGGATGCTTCTGCTCTGGGGAAGTGGGAGGAGGTGGAACAGTTGGGGCTGGCCAGGGAAGCAGCCTAGGGGCTAAGTATCTAACGCAAGAGAGGGGGTGAGGTTGGGAAGAGAGAGCCAAGCCCCCATGGCTTCCCCTGGAGCCAGCTCCAGGCCGATGCTTCTGGAGAACTCCTTCATCCTCTGGCCATGAAGAGGCCATCCATCCACCTTGGGGTAGACTGCCTGGCTCATCTCCAAAATTTCTTGCTGGCTCTCCCTTTTTTTTTTCTTTATGCTGGGAACTGAACCTAAGGTCTTCACATTGAGCTACAACCCCAGCCCTTTTGTATTTTTCATTTTGAGACAGGTTCTCAATAAGCTGCTAAGTTGCCTAGGCTGGGTTAGAACTTGCAGTCCTCCTGCCTCAGCCTCCCAGAATGCTGGGATTCCAGGCATGTGCCACCATGCTCTGTCCAGCTATTTCTTTAGTCTGTTTCCCTGGGGCTGTCAGGCCTCCCTGCAAGATTCCTTGGTCTTGGTGGGCTGTTCAGCTCAAGATCTTCTATACAGAGCCTTTCAGTATGGACCCTGTTGTGGGAGCTGGGAAGGGGGAGTGTCCCTCTTCCCTCCAGAGTGTCATATTATGAGTTCCTCTCTAGGGTCCCTTAGTCTTGGATGCTCTTTAAAGAAACTCGGTCTCTTTTGACCCTATTTTTCCCCTTACAGCATTCCTGTATCCTGTTAACCCTTGGTAGAGCACTTCCCCTATAAATTCCCAGCACTGGGCCCTTGGGGACTCTTCTTCAATTGATTTACTGGGACAGTTTGGATGAGGTGAAAGGGAGGAATTGGAGCTAACTAGGGCACAAACTTGCTCCCTGCTTCCTGTCCCCCATTCAGATGGCTCAGCTAGCTCTGGGGGCCCTGAGTCAATGCCATCATCTTACTCTACTAACTGGGGTACAAGCCACGATTCAGGTATGCTCAGAGCCTCAGCGCCTGGTACTTTGCAAAGCTTCTCTCCCACCGAGTACAAAGACCTGAACAGGCATGGGGCCATCAGGCACAGGAGCTCCCTCCCAGCCAAGGAGGAGGTCCACATTTCCAGGGCAAAAACAGGAGAAAAAGCAAGGCGTGTTGGTGAACACCTGTAATTTAGCTATTGAACAAGATCCTCTCTCAAAATACAATAAATTTTTTAAAAGGCTGGAGATGTAGTTCAGTGCAAAGGCCTTGGGTTCAATCCCTAGTACCACAAAGATAGATGATAGATAGGCAGAAGTGTTGACAAGAGCTAGGGAGGGAGGAAAGAGGTAGAAAAAAATAGTCTGAAGCCAGCCAGAGGGGGACACTTGGTGGGCCCCAGGGTGTCTGTTTCTCTGCACTTCTTACTGTGAGCTATTCCCCAACACAGCTGGGAAAGAGAGGTTGAGTGTCCAGACTGATGCAGAGTCAGAGCTCAAAAGTTGAGCTAAAAGACCTGATTGTGGGAGGGAAAAGAAGAGACAAGAGAAGTCTCCTTCAGCAGAGAGTTGGAGCCATGGTTGACTCAGAAGTGGGACCACTAGGTCCTTAAAGTCCCCCTGGTAGAAGTGCTCCCAACAGCAAGTATGTGAGAGATAAGCCAGTCCCTTCCAAGGACATGAAGGTGACTCTCAGAGAGAGAAGGGTGGGGCTGCTGCTTTCCCCTAGTAGCCCTGTCCCAGCAGGTCCAGGGCACAGTGGACACTCAGCCTGTAGGTAGGGGAGAGGTCATTCCTGGGTCATGCCAAGGACGGGGAGGGAAAGGCCAGCTTCAGGGCATTGCAGTGCCAGATGACACAGATGAAGGTCTACTCTGACAACTGGCTCTTACATGGCATAGCCAAGGCTCCGCAGGAAAGGGAATCATTAGTCGGATGAGATAAGAACACAGAGGAGCCCAGCCCCACCCCATACCTCTCTCACTCGCCCCCAGCAAGTGTTGTCCAACAGATGAAGGGTTACAGCATCTCAGGAGTTTCGATGTTGGCCCATTTGTAGGCTGAGACCTAAGCATTTGTCCCACCCATCAACCTCAGCCTCCTACCCAACAGGAACAGGTTCTTGGTATCCCAGCATCCTATGGGACTGAAGGAGAGGTTTTACCCGTCATCGCACCATGCTCTCCATGCAGGCTCAAATCCCAAGCCAACCCCAAATTCTCACAATGTCACAAGCTTGTGGCAGGTAGGGGGTGAGTATAATATCTTTCAGTAACTTTTAGACATAATTAAGACTAAATTTTAAGTTGATTTAAAGAATGAATGAGATGGCTTCTGGGTGTACTTAAAAGTGATACAAGGAATGGATACTGGAGGAAAGTTTGAGTTACAAGCATAAAATTATACCTTAGCTCAAAAAGTTACCTTTTTAAATGTCAGGAGTTGGAAATAAGTCAATTCAGAGACTCTGGTTGTCGTCCTTGCTTCATTGCCTCTTCATCTTTTCCGTCCCCGTGAACACTTGTTCTATGAAGGCAGAACTTGGAGAATGCTAATGGCTTCCTGGGTAAAGGACAAGTTACAGTGGTGCTAAAACACAAGACTATAGCTGTTCATGGCAGTGGGGAAGGCACTAAGGGAAAAGTATGACAAGGAGGAGAGGGGAGCCAGACTAATGTCTGAGCTGTTGTCTATTTAATGAGTTCATTTATTAGGTGCTTATTTGTTTTTATTATTTCACAACCCTCATAATAACTGTGGGAGGTATGTTTTATTATTCCCCCTTTTTTAGGTGAGAAAATTCACATATGTGGCTAGTAAGAGTCCATGATGGCACTGAGATTAAACCCAGATTTGTCTGATGCCAAAACCCACGTTCTCCACCCTAGTTCCCCTGATACAGGTTAAAAGCAGAGGGAGAGCCCTTCTGTACCATGCTCTCCTGACAGTCTCTGCCTGCGGCCTTGTGCTCAGTACTGTGGAATAGCCCTGTGGGAAGTGTGAGTTGCACATCAGTGCTAAATACTGCTCAGCTCTAGGGCTAGCACTTCACAGAACAAAGTGAAGCCTACTTCCCTGGTAGTGGAGCAGTAGCAAGCAGCTGCAGAGGCCCTTTGCAAATGTGCTCAAGTGGCCCACACTAGTTATTCTGCATGTTTATGTATGGCAGTCTGTATAGATAGTTTGAAACTACAGTGAGAAGGACTGAAGTTAGGCTCAAGAAGCACTTCCCAAATACCTGGGGGTCAGGTATGGTTGCAGAGTCTCCCTGGAGCTCTGTGACCACTCAGTGCAATATGGGTGTCCGGAGAGGTGTCCACAGAACTCTGCAGGTCTCAAAAAACTACTCAAAGCATGGTTACTCCCAGGGTTACCTTATTCCCTCCCCTATTTCTGGAGCATTCTAATACCTCTGAGTGTCTGGACTCCCCATCTCTGTTTTGTTTAGTGTTATAGTCACTGCACCCTGAGATATAAATCTCTGCCAGAGCACCACACACATCACTGCCCTAAAAAATAACATATGCTTTCTCCTCTCTTTTCCTGTGGCAGAGGTCCACCCTTTCCCCTCATCCTGATCCTCTCCAGACCTCAGGCAGCCAGATTGCCAACTGCCTGATTACCTGATGCAAATGAAGGCTGCCTCCTTGACTGGGATTGGCTGGGGAGCTGAGTATGCAAATTAGCTTACCAAGACATTCTGTGGTTTGAAAGAGTTAAAGTGCTGCCCCAGAGAAGAGGGTGGGGTGAAGGGGGGCTCAGCATGATTTGAATAGAATTTTCTGTCTTTAAAGACTTCAGTATTCCAGTGGTTTAATAAGGAGAGAAGAGAGAGAGAGATCATTCAAAGTTGCCTCTTTCCTTCCCTCTGCTGACCAGGGAAGAGACTTAGGGGCCTCGTAGGTGGTGGCAGCTGTCTGTTATGGGTAAATGTTTAATTTATTGAAATGAAGCAGGATGGAGCAGCAAGGCTTGGAGCAACCCTGGGGCCCCGTGTAGGTATGCTTTCCTGGGCAGAGCAGTGACCCACTGCCAACCCCTTTCTCATTGAGCAAGTTGAAGGAGTAGGAGAAAGTAAAGATCTCCGAAGAACAAAATCTCTAAGAAAGGCAACACAGAAGGTCTGACCCCCAGACAGTGCCCTGACCTCTGAGAACCAGATAGAGGAGGAGGCAGGAACTGAGTGAAAAGGTACTCCTACCTTTGGGTGGGGTTATTATGTAGAGTGGGGAGGAATACTACTTAAGCTAAAATAAAGACCCCCAAATTGTACAGGAAGTGGGGGTGGGTGGGAAGGGTTCTCCCACCTCACCCTTATGTCCCTCCCCTTGTTAAATCTTTACCATCTGAGTCTTGGTGATAGGAGGAAGTGGCAATGAATGATGCAAAGGTGAGAGATGGTGCAGCAGCAGTGGAGAAAGAGGGACAGAAAGGCGTGGAGAGGAGGCAAGCACAGGAGGAGGGGATTTGTGCCCCCAAGTTTATGAATATTCTAATGGTTGTATGTTCAGGAATCTGGAATTTGAAAGTCTGAGGGTGGTTGTAATTACATATTCATCTGTGCTGTTTAGTTAAAGCCACATATGTCATAGCAAGAAAAATTGTGACCTGTTATTAAAATCAGTTGTGTTTTCCCCGCAGATATCAAGATGAGTGGGGATGTAGCAGATTCCACGGACACACGCAGCACCCTCAGCCAAGTGGAGCCAGGTAAGGGTCTTCTCTTTTGGGGAGTGGAACAGGCAAGCAGGGGAGGGGAGGGAGTGGCTACAAATTGTCCAGCATGTAGTGTCTCTTCTTGCTTCTTCTTTCAGCTGGTCAGACCCAAAAGCTGGGTCTTAGAAACTGAGGGAATTCTCTGGATATGTGGGGTAGGACCTCAGAGCTTTGGAATAGTAGATATTGGTCTCAATGGAACAAACCTCTGGAACAGTCCCAGAAGGAGTCAGAACCTTAGGAGCAAAACAAAACTTAAAAAGTTAAGGAGGTAGTTCACTTTTGCAGTGCTGGGTTTCAAACCCAGGGCCTCACAATTGCTAGGCAAGCACTCGGCCACTGAGCTCTACCCTTAGTCCTTTGATTCACTTTCTTTCTTTTCTGTACTGAAGAGCAAACTCAGAAGAGCTCTATGACTAAGCTACATCCCCAGCTTTTTAAATTTTTATATTGAGACAGATTCTTGCTAAGTTACTCAAGGTGCCTTGGAACTTGTACTTGCAATCCTCCTGCTTCAGTCCCTGAGTAGCTGGGATTTCAGGCACACACCATCACATCCAGCTGTGATTCACTCCCCCCCCCCCCCGCCCCATCGAACTCAGGACCTTGTGCTTGTGAGGCAGTCGCCGGACCCACTGAGCTAAATCCCCGGCCCTGTGATTCACTTCCTCATGTGCCGTTCCAACACCTCTAGAGGCAGTAGGCTGTGTTTTCAGCTCCCAGTGACTGACAAAAGGCAGGGTCTGTCTTTGGTGGATGGAACTAGAGCCTCTCAGTCCCAGATTCTTCAGCAGTCCTTCTAAAGGAACTAACTAACGAAGCACAAAATTTTGCCTTTCCAAATTACCTGCATGTGAGTGGCAAATAGGCTCAGAGAGGAAGGCTTGGTGTTTACAAATAACTTTGGTTTTTCAAGAAGAAAAAGGGTACAGAAAAGAATTGGGAAGAAAGTTTCATACATCCATAGCCCAACCCTTGATTTGAAAACTTCATACAATTAAAAAGAACATAAAGAAAGATAAATAGAAATTGTAACACTACCAAATAACTTTAATAGCATCCAAACAAGACCTCAACTAGCCTTTCATCTGAATCAGTAGAGACATAGAAATAAGCAGTGGAAGAGAATGAATGTCCCTCAGAGCTAGACTCTTGTTCAAATCCTCTGGAAAATTCTAGCTCTACTCTTAAAGCTAAAAGATTTGGGATCAGGAACAAAGCAGCTAGGGGTGGGGATTCATCTGCAGGATACATTTGCCACAAATTTTTCTGCTCCCCAATTTATTCATTATTTTTAAAAATATTGTTCTACTGGGAATTGAGCCCAGGGGTTCTACCACCAAACCACATCCTCAGTACCTTTTTAGAGACAGCATCTCACTAAGTTGCCCAGGCTGAAACAATGTCTACTTGCACAGATAGCAATGTACATAGTGGAACAGTCTTTGCTTCATATAGAGGAACAGCTGGACTAAGGAGAGTAAGGGCCGTTTGCACCTATCTTTTGTTGTTGTTGTTGTTGTTGTTGTTGTTGTTTTGAGACAGGGTCTCACTGTGTAGACCAGGCTGGCCTTGAACTTACTATGTAGCCCAGGCTGGCCTCTATCATCCTGAGTGCTGGAATTACAGATGGGTGCCACCACACATGGCCTGCACTCATCTTTCAATTGATTTGTTGGCTAAGCATATTTTTACTAAAGTCTGTAGAAAAAGGCATCTGTCCTTCCTTCCCAGCTGAGAAGAAATTTTCCTTCAACCTCAAGAACCTGAGATCAGCTCAGCTGGAAGTTAAAGGAAAGAGTCCTCATACTGCTATTCTTCTCTAGAGAAAAATCAGAGTCCAGTGAGAAGTTGGGTTGCCCTTTCCTAGGGTGACTAGAGCCAAGTCTGTCCACATGGAGAAAGACCACACTTAGCACTGGCACTGGTCCTTTGTTAACTCATTACCCTGACCAAACCAGGGAACAGTGTTGGGAGTAAGAATGAGCCACACAGAACCCTAAAAAGTGAGCCAGGAAATGGGGCGGGGGTCCCCTCTGATCCTGGGAGATTCAGGAGGTTAATGTGTTATGGATAATCTGAGCAAATTCTGGCCTCTTATTTGGGACTGTGAGAGCTATGCATAGAATAGGTTCAGGGAGAACAAATCTGAACATAGACTAGGACCATCAGAATCTGACTATCATCTAGGATATTGTCAATGGGCTATGTGATTTCAGACCAGCCACTTTGCCCCCACAGGAGGCAGGAACAGATCCCTTTAAAGACTATGGATTTAGGATCAACTCAACCTGGGATAAAACGTCCAGCTGTGCTGCTTACTGGCTACATGACCTGATCATTTATCCACGTCTCTTCTGTAAACAGAGAAAATTAATGTCCTTAGAGAACGTGTTGAGAGTTTCTTGACATGATGTCAAAAGCCCTTAGCCTGGTGCTTGGTGCTCGGCAGCTGGGATCATCATTACCTTTGCAGCCAGCATTACAGAGTCCGACTGTAAGTGAAGAATGGGCACTGCTGCTGAGGGCTCTCAGGCTACAAGTGGCTGGGCTGCTCTTTTCCTGTCATTTGTTGCCAGTGCTTCAGCCCCAGAGGTTTTGCTCTGTTCATCAATCAGGGAAATATTCTGCGTGGGTTCTCTTAAACTCCCAGAAGACAGTGATGTCTGCAACTTCTGTGCTGTCTGAAACTCTACCACCCCTCAATCTTTCCCCTCAATCCAATCCCTGTAGCATCCGTGCCTAGGTGATCCTCAAATTACAGCATGTATTTAAGAGCAAGAAAAAAGAAGTCCTGATTTACTTAACCAAACTTCCTGGAAAGTCATTCTGACTCATTTTATAAAAGAGGAAAGCTTATTATGAGTTACAATGTCTACCTACTTGTTTAATAGGTTCCTTTGAATTTCTAAAAGATGCCTCTGCCTTCCCAGCATGAATGAATTAATAGGTGGTTTGTCTCTGGGTTTTAAAGGCACTATTAAAAAGGTGACCTAGAAAGCCCCCGGGCCCTGTGAGCACCCTCAGCGTTTTGTGAAATCCCCAAGCAGCACTAAGGATGGGAGCCGGGAAAAAGAAGTGAAATTCCCATCCACACTGGCCAAGGAGAGCATTTTCAGACCTGAAAACAGACTTCCCGGGTGGGGAGACTTGGCAGGGCATGCAACCTTCTCTTTCCTCCTGCCTGGAAGACAACAAATTGCCTGAGACCTCAGAATGTCTTTGTAGGAGCAGTAGGGTCCAGACAAAGTTTTAGAACTTCTGTCTCCCACCCCTGCTCCCATACACAAAGGACTGAAGCCAAGTTCTATTTAGATTTCTGAACTATCAGCTTTTGTGTCCTTCCTATTACATCTCTACCTGTTACTACCTTTTCTTCACTGTTAAGGTTGGCAGTATGTTTCTGTTCTCAGTTAGTGGTTGATGAGAATACAGCCTTATGATGTTCACGAACTGCCAGGCTGTAACTGACGGTACCCATCAGCCAACCCTATGACATTGACCATGCCACTGACATCATAAGCTTAAACAGGAGAGAGGGCAAGGTGGAGGGCTCAGGAGGAAGGCAGAGAGGTCCAGGAACTTTTACAGTGCCTCCTCCACAGACCCACCTCATGTGGGCAGCTTTATGTACACCATCACATTGAATTCTGACAATAAACCTATGAGATAGAAACATCATTATCCCATTTCTCTTCAGGAGGAAATTGTGAGATGGGGAAACTGATTTGATCACAGGATCATACAGCTCACTACCAGGAATCAAACTCAGGCCTGTGTGACTCCATCAGGTTCTTATCATGGCTGGGCCATGAACTCCCTGCATATAATTTGGCAAGTGTTTCCCCAGATGGACCTTTATTTTCTTCCCTACAAAGGAAGCATTTGGACTACATATTCTCTAAGGGCTGAATTGTAAAAGCTATGTGCATAGTCCTGCTTTTCAGAACTCTTTCCCATCTCTTTGTACACCTCACATTTGCATATGGGTTTCCCAGCGCTGAACAGTTTCCCTGGGCTGTTTCCCTCACCCCCTCCCCATTCCCTTCTTTTCAGCTTCTTAATCACTCTCCCCTCTGAAGTCTCCAGTGGTCTTGCTCTGAGTGGGTTCTGATCCTCTACTTGGCCCAGCTGGCAGACCCCTAACTACCATCTACGGTGCACCACTTCAGCTCAGACCCTGGGTTCAGAAAGGTAGGGAAAAGTCCCTGTCCTCAAAGAGCTTTACTTCAAGTGCAGAAATATGTGGTCATGTGGATAACCGACAACTGTATCTATAATGGTTTCTTAAACACGTCATGCATTTGTCCTTTACAAGAACTCTACAAGAGCCAGTGTTATTATCCCACTTTGCAGATGAAGAAATTGAGGCTTGGGTGGGAGAGATTACTAGCTGCTTTTCCCAAGATCACCTGTCTAGCACATGACATACTGGAGCCTGGATCTTTCTAGTACTTTCTACTTAAAGATGGTGGTGGGAAGACTGGGGACCAACACAGAGAAACAGGGACAGAGGACACAAGAGACTGGCGCATCAGGACAAATGCCAACATTAGGGAGGATGGCACAGCAGGGCTGGAGGGAGCCACATCCCCTGTAGGTGGACTGATCTAGTCCAAGGAAAAAAGCCCTGTCGGAGCCAAAGCGCACTTGCTGGGGAGGAGAGGAGAAGGGCTGGGGTCAACTCCCTCCCTCTGCTGAACTGTGAAGGTTGACAATCAGCCTGCAGAGAACTTTCCCCACTGCCTCCTGAGCCAGTCTCCACCAAAGTCCTAGCCTCCATCCCTCTGCAGCCTCCCTTGTCATTTAACAGAGGGGGTAGGACAGGGTTCCAAACTCAGATGACCAGGGAGCAAGTACCTTGGCACCTTTGTCCTGCTCAAAGGTCTAAGAAGGAAGGACTCCAGGAGGGGAACTCAGGGGAAGAAAGGAGACCCCAGAAGTGAGGGAGGGGCTTGACATTGCTACTCATCTCTCTTATTTATCCTTTCTTC